CATGTTATTTATTTTCTCTCAGATCTGGACCAGGGCATCACTGAGCTCCTGGACAGTCTGAGGTGCAACCTGGTGGCATCAGATGGACCCAAACATGATATCCCAGAGGTGTGCTATTAGATTTAGGTCAGGCGAGCGTGGGGGCCATTCAATGGTACCAATTCCTTCATCCTCCAGGAACTGCCTGCATACTCCTGCCATTGTCATGCACCAGGAGGAACCCAGGACCCACTGCACCAGCATGGGGTCTGACAATGGGTCCAAGGATTTCATCCCAATACCTAATGGCAGTCAGGGTACCATTGTCTAGCCTGTAGAGGTCTGTGCGTCCCTCCATGGAGATGCCTCCCCAGACCATCACTGACCCACCACCAAAACGGTCATGCTGAACCATGTTACAGGCAGCAGAACGTTCTCCACGCCTTCTCCAGACCCTTTCACATCTGTCACATGTGCTCAGGGGGAACCTGCTTTCATCTGTGAAAAGCACTGGGTGCCAGTGGTGGACCTGCCAATTCTGGGGTTCAATGGCAAATGCCAATCCAGCTCTATGGTGCCAGGCACAGGGCCCACTAGAGGACATCGGGCCCTCAGGCCACCCTGAAGTCTATTTCTGATTGTTTGGTCAGAGACATTCACACCAGTGACCTGCTGGAGGTCATTTTATAGGGCTCTGGCAGTGCTGTTCCTCCTTGCACAAAGGAGCAGATACCGGTCCTGCTGATGGGCTAAGGACCTTCTAAGGCCCTGTCCAGCTCTCCTAGAGGAACTGCATGTCTCCTGGAATCTCCTCCATGCTCTTGAGACTGTGCTGGGAGACACAGCAAACCTTATGGCAATGGCACATATTGATGTGCCATCCTGGAGGAGTTGGACTGCCTGAGCACCCTCTGTAGGGTCCAGGCATCACCTCATGCTACCAGTAGTGACACTGACCCTAGCCAAATGCAAAACTAGTGAAAAACAGTCAAAAAAGATGAGTAGGGAAATAAATGTCAGTGGCCTCCACCTGTAAAACCCTTTCTGTTTTGGGGGTCGTCTCATTGTTGCCCATCTAGTGCACCTGTTGTTCATTTTCATAAATACCAAAGCAGCTGAAACTGATTACCAACCCCCTCTGCTACTTACTTGGTCAGATCCATATCTCAGGAGTTTCACTGACTTGATGCTAGACTCAGAAAAAAAAAAAAAAATAATAATAATAATAATAATAATAAATATATAAAGAAAAATGTGTATACGAGCGCACCTAATTGCAGCAGCTATACATCAGGTTACCAAACACCTTTAAAATACCATAAATCAAAAATGTAGCGCTACAGACCCAAGATATTCCAATGAAGACAGATAGGTGATTCATATGAATAAATAAACATAAACATAACAGTTCATAAAAAGGGTGACTTTTGGTGATTTCTTCTCTGTCCTATACCTCTGGTGCTCAGGCGTTGTGCAAAATAGTGCTGAGAGAATGCACACTCACCAGAACGCCCAGGAAAATGAGCGTTTAGTAATTATATATTCCCCTTGGAGACATCAGCCGGTCAGGATAAGATAGTATGCTAGCCTCCCTCAAGAGCTCCTGCAAGTTACTGTGTGATCCCTCGGTAGGTGGCCTGTGGACTTCTCCTTGGGGACCACATACGTTCCTTACCCAGCGATGGCTGCAAATGAATACTCCCCAAGGGAGTCAAAACAAGGACGCCTCCATAGTGTAGTAGGTGATAACAGAGGTTTTATTACATAAAGCATCCAAGGTACACAGCGGTGTACCTTGGATGCTTTATGTAATAAAACCTCTGTTATCACCTACTACACTATGGAGGCGTCCTTGTTTTGACTCCCTTGGGGAGTATTCATTTGCAGCCATCGCTGGGTAAGGAACGTATGTGGTCCCCAAGGAGAAGTCCACAGGCCACCTACCGAGGGATCACACAGTAACTTGCAGGAGCTCTTGAGGGAGGCTAGCATACTATCTTATCCTGACCGGCTGATGTCTCCAAGGGGAATATATAATTACTAAACGCTCATTTTCCTGGGCGTTCTGGTGAGTGTGCATTCTCTCAGCACTATTTTGCACAACGCCTGAGCACCAGAGGTATAGGACAGAGAAGAAATCACCAAAAGTCACCCTTTTTATGAACTGTTATGTTCATGTTTATTTATTCATATGAATCACCTATCTGTCTTCATTGGAATATCTTGGGTCTGTAGCGCTACATTTTTGATTTATAATAATAAATATATATATATGACAGTGCAAGGCTCTCACACTGTGGAAATGGGTTTGAGAAGGACACAGGACTCTCAAACAGTCAGTCTGAGAGGCTCCAGCAAATGTTTTGCGAGCCGGGAAAGCTATGTTTTAAGCTTTCCCTGGATTTGGTAAGTGTGGATCGGGGCTGTAAGCTTGAAGGCTCTAAAGAGTATTGGGTGGGACGGAGTCTTCGGTCTTGCGTCCGGGTTTTTCAGAAGATCGCCAGGGTGTGTGTGTGTCCAGGTGCTGTACACACTCGTTATAAGGCAGATCTGAGCATATCTCAAAAGATGGTGGAGGTGGAATAGCAGTTGGTGGTGGAGGTGGAATAGGAGTTGGTGATGGAGGTGGAATAGCAGTTGGTGGTGGAGGTGGAATAGGAGTTGGTGATGGAGGTGGAATAGCAGTTGGTGGTGGAGGTGGAATAGGAGTTGGTGATGGAGGTGGAATAGCAGTTGGTGGTGGAGGTGGAATAGGAGTTGGTGATGGAGGTGGAATAGCAGTTGGTGATGGAGGTGGAATAGCAGTTGGTGGTGGAGGTGGAATAGGAGTTGGTGATGGAGGTGGAATAGGAGTTGGTGGTGGAGGTGGAATAGGAGTTGCTATTGCTACAAGCCTGAAGACAGAGCCCTGTCAGGAGAGCTGGATGCACCTGGTGGAGACTACAACCCTAGTGAGGGCGATTCTGGGAAAGTCTGGCCAGCTACGAGAGTCTGGGAGACCAAGAGAGGGTCTGGGAAGCTGAAGAAGCTGCAGAGGCCAGTGAGTCCAAGGGGCTGGAGGGAATTCGTGAATCTCTGGAGGAAGCAAGCTGAGGTACAGGGAAAACTGTCAAGAGGCCATGTGGGGCCTGAATAGCAAGGAGCTGTCACCTAGGCTGAAAGAGCCTGAATAGCCAGTGGTCTGGGAGACCAAGTCAAGCAAAGGTACTGCTAACCAGAGAGCCAGGAGGCTCGGCATTTTCAGTGTTATTTTGAGTGAAGTTGAAACCCCCTGCATGGGAAACCTTGTGTTTGAAAGGACTTTTCAGTTACTGTTTAATAAAAGTGGGCTACCAGGCCCTTAAGTTTAGTTCCTGTGTGGTGTGAACTCAGTAAAAAACACATCTACCGTTGAGCTAAGCATCCCCCATATAAAAAAATAAAAAATAAAAGTTATACTAGCATCAAGGGTAGAGCTTTTACAGCACACAGCCACTCTCTTCTTCTTCTTAAGGGCCGTTTTTAGCCCACACAATATGTTTCCCACGCAGGGGTATCCACCATCAATCCAAATGAAACAAATATTCAGCCTTCTGGCTTTCTCAGATATACAGCCCCTGGCCTCTTAACCGTTCACACAAAACGCTGTTAGTGACCCTTCACAGGATTCATGTTTCTCCAGCCCACAGACTTGGGCCCTCTGTCTGCTGTCAGATTTGTACCACCATGCACACTTGTGGATGCACCCACATGGACTCCTCAGGAGGGTGAAGCTCAGAACCCTGGTCCTGACTCTAGAAGAGAGCCACACACACACACCGGACCAATCAGTCTCCTGGCCATTCCCAAAACCTGGTCCCAGGATTGGAGATTTCATCCCTTCCAAATCACTTTGAAATCTCTCAGGCTCCGGGTCCCAAAATGGAACTTTACAAACAAATGAGGAAAGCGAAAAAGCCACTTTACCTCTGCATCAAACATGTACCCTGGAGCCCCTCAACCTGCTTGTTGAGAATCCCGGGTGAAATATCCTTTTTATATCGTGACAGATCGCCACACTGTCACATATCTCCCCCTTTGTTTCGTTCTGGAGGGAGAAACATACCTTTCCTACTCTTTTTCCTGTTGCACTTCCATAAACACTTTCTCTCCTGAAATCTCAACTGGGTCCCATTGGTCTTTATCAACCTTTCTGCCCCTTTGCTTCAGGTTCCAAGGTTTCCTCATACCTCTCTCAGTATTCCTGTCCCAAGGCTGTAAGGGACCTATTTCTACTGTATTTGTACCAGGACCACCCCTCTTATTTCTGGTACCTTTGACTATCAAACCTGCATGACTCGTCACCACAATATTCAGTTTCCCATGAACATATATATTCCAGTCAATATTACAGCTCTCAATATCTTTTCCAGCATTTGTTAGGACAGTGTCTGTAGATGGCAAACACCATAGGGCAGCCATCACCCACGGGAACCTCACTAGATGCCACCTCACCTGGTGTCATGCACTCTGCAGGCGGCTGTCCCACCATTATAACTTTTCCTACAGCACTTGGATCTGTATCCTGATCCTGAACAGGTCAGCTTTCTTCTGATCCATTTTGCCAGTTTTCACATACTTTTTGTCCCTGTATTTCAGGGGTCTTATCAGACCTATTACATAAACTTCTTTTTGGCCCAGTGACCCTGATTTCTTTATGTACATCCGTCTGAGCCCTGGTCAGGATCTCTGCTGTTCTCTGGTCCATGCTCGGCCCTTCCATCTCATGTGGTTTGTCCACTGGTGCAGTAAACACGCCCTTCACTGACAGCTGACCGGCACCATCCCTCCAGCCTGTGCCCCTCCCCTGACTTCCCCATCAAGACCAATAATGCAACCATCAGTCCCTCCCCTCATGCCGGGGTACTCGGTGTAATCCTAGATCCCAATCTGTCCTTTCAGCTCCAAATCCAATCTCTGTCCAAATCATGTAGACTCCACCTCCAGCAACATCTCCAAGATACAGCAGTTTTTAACCTCTGAAACCACTAAGCAACTTATTCCCTCCCTGGTTATCTCTCGCCTTGACTATTGTAACTCCCTTCTCATTGGCCGATCTCATCGCAGGCTATCCCCTCTTCAGTCTATCATGAATGCTGCTGCCAGAATCATCCACCTTACAACCGTTCTGTATCTGCCACCCCTCTCTGCCAATATCTCCACTGGCCTCCATTCAGTGTGCTCCACCCCTCTCTGCCAATCCCTCCACTGGCCTCCATTTAGTGTCCTGCACCCCTCTCTGCCAATCCCTCCACTGGCCTCCATTCAGTGTCCTCCACCCCTATCTGCCAATCCATCCACTGGCCTCCACTCAGTGTCCTCCACCCCTCTCTGCCAATCCCTCCACTGACCTCCATTCAGTGTCCTCCACCCCTCTCTGCCAATCCATCCACTGGCCTCCACTCAGTGACCTCCACCCCTCTCTGCCAATCCATCCACTGGCCTCCATTCAGTGTCCTCCACCCCTCTCTGCCAATCCCTCCACTGACCTCCATTCAGTGTCCTCCACCCCTCTCTGCCAATCCCTCCACTGGCCTCCACTCAGTGTCCTCCACCCCTCTAGGCCAATCCATGCACTGGCCTCCAGTGTCCTCCACCCCTCTCTGCCAATCCCTCCACTGGCCTCCATTCAGTGTCCTCCACCCCTCTCTGCCAATCCCTCCACTGGCTTCCGATTGCCCAATGGATAAAATTCAAAACATTAACATATAAAGCCATTTATAACTCCGCCCCAAATTACATCTCCAATCTTGTCTCCAAATATCACCCAAACCGTCCTCTCCGCTCCTCCTACAACCTCCTGCTCTCTAGCTCCCACGTCTCCTCCTCCCATGCTTGTCTCCAGGACTTCTCCAAGCTTCCCCCATCCTCTAGAACTCTCTACCCCAATCTATCAGACTATCGCCTACTCTGCTTACTTTTACGCAATCTCTGAAAACCGATCTCTTCAGGGAAGCCTATCCTGCCCTCAGCTAATAATGGAATCTTCTATTCCTCCTACCAGTCCATCCCCCACAGTTACTACCGTTTGTACCACTAGCCTCTCCCTCTTAGAGTGTAAGCTCCCAGGATCAAGGCCCTCCTATCCCTCTTGTATTGAACTGTATTGTTGCTGTATTGTCTCCCTTTATATTGTACAGCGCTGAGCAAACTGTTGGCGCCATAAATCCTGTATAATTATAATAATAATAATCCTGGGCCATAGCAGCAGAAATGCTTCCCACCTGGCTGTTAGGAAGTGAAACATTTTTTGACATTTTTCATGTCTCCAATACCTCTCTCATATATCATATTTACAGGAAGTAGTCCAGCAGCGTTCCCAGAGGCAACTTTTAACACCATCAAATGCAGAAATAAACCACTTCTTTCTTGTTCCCCTTTGATCTATACAGCCAGCCATTTGGTGCTCCACCTCGTGGTACCCCCCGCAGTACCAGACCATCTGACTGTGGAGGAGACACCCCAGTATACATTGGTTGTACATTCCAAAGTTCAAGCATCTCCTTTAATGCTTTTGTTACAACCCAGCCACTTGACTCCAGACCCAAGACCTTCCTGAAGATAGCCAGCCACTTGACTCCAGACCCAAGACCTTCCTGAAGATAGCTAGCCATTTGACTCCAGACCCAAGACCATCCTGAAGATAGCCAGCCATTTGACTCCAGACCCAAGACCATCCTGAAGATAGCCAGCCATTTGACTCCAGACCCAAGACCATCCTGAAGATAGCCAGCCATTTGACTCCAGACCCAAGACCTTCCTGAAGATAGCCAGCCATTTGACTCCAGACCCAAGACCTTCCTGAAGATAGCCAGCCATTTGACTCCAGACCCAAGACCTTCCTGAAGATAGCCAGACATTTGACTCCAGACCCAAGACCTTCCTGAAGATAGCCAGCCATTTGACTCCAGACCCAAGACCTTCCTGAAGATAACCAACCACTTGACTTCAGACCCAAGACCTTCTTGAAGATATTTATGACACTGGGAATGCCGAGAGACTCACCTGCTGAGACTTGAGAAGTTTCAACTTTTAAAAAGGGGACCTCCTCCCAGCTAGAGGTAACCACAGCCTGGTGCTCCACCAGGAAGCTGCCAAGTGCTGGGCTCACTCACATCTCAGCATCCATAAACTGCCCCCGATCATTCCCAGTGACAACCTCATTTTGACCCTCCATGCCAACATCACTTTTGTGGGTCCCGGACAGTCTCTGCTGTATGCTCGCCCTTATCTATAGGCTGTTCTATGGACCCTCCTGCTGGCACAGCAGACACAGTGTCCACCTTATTTTTATGCATAAAAGCCTCATCTATCAACGAGATTATCCTTTTTTTACCCCAATCCATTGTATATGTGCTCCATTCACCAGTGCTCCTCAGCACCGATCCATCCGCCCAAGGAGGCACATAACAATAGATGGGCTTAGTTGCAGATCTATTGCACAAATCACTCTGGATCCTGTCAGACTTGGGTAACACCTGTTCTCCCACTGCAGGTTGCAATACCTCACATCCACCACTTTGCTCTGGTGGCGCTTCATGAATTACCCACACATTTGCATCTTTCTCAGGATGTATTAACCCGTTGTTCACCTGAACACTTTCAGTATTAGTATGATGGCACCCAAAACACTCCTATGAAAAGGTGCAGTTCCACTCTGCTCCACCAGAGTGACATTGAAGTTGTCCGGGGCAACCTCCGGCTCCAATACATGGAGACCCCTGGAGATTTCTAGGGACACCTGTGCTGTCTTACCACCAGTTGCTATGGGAAACGACCCGTCTTTAATTGAGCTCTTGCAGTGCAAAAGCTGTAAGGTTTTCCCAACCGCAGAACATTTCTCTTCACCACCATTCTCAGCATTTGTAGCTCTTGTGGGCTGTCCTAGCCCACTACCAACCTGTGACTGGCAGACATTAGTGACATCACTTTCATTTTGAGAACCACGCACAGGTTTTACTTTAACCCCTACCTCCCCACGGTACAAGGCACTGCACAGGGAATAGTCACTCTCAGGAGCACATTCAGTGGCCCAACTAACTGGGGTCACTCCTACATCAGAATGGACCATAACCAGTCCTTCTCAACATGACATCAGCAGTCCCAGCCATGGTTTTATCACACACAGTCTTACCCACCACAGTAGTAGGTGTCACCATCTTCATCTTACCCACCACAGTAGTAGGTGTCGCCATCTTCCTCTTAGCCACCACAGTAGTAGGTGTCGCCATCTTCATCTTACCCACCACAGTAGTAGGTGTCGCCATCTTCCTCTTAGCCACCACAGTAGTAGGTGTAGCCATCTTCCTCTTAGCCACCACAGTAGTAGGTGTCACCATCTTCCTCTTACCCACCACAGTAGTAGGTGTCGCCATCTTCATTTAGCCACCACAGTAGTAGTGTCACCATCTTTATCTTACCCACCACAGTAGTAGGTGTCGCCATCTTCCTCTTACCCACCACAGTAGTAGGTGTCGCCATCTTCCTCTTACCCACCACAGTAGTAGGTGTCACCATCTTCCTCTTACCCACCACAGTAGTAGGTGTCGCCATCTTCCTCTTAGCCACCACAGTAGTAGGGTGTAGCCATCTTCCTCTTAGCCACCACAGTAGTAGGTGTCACCATCTTCCTCTTACCTACCACAGTAGTAGGTGTCGCCATCTTCATTTAGCCACCACAGTAGTAGTGTCACCATCTTTATCTTACCCACCACAGTAGTAGGTGTCGCCATCTTCCTCTTACCCACCACAGTAGTAGGTGTCGCCATCTTCGTCTTACCCACCACAGTAGTAGGTGTCACCATCTTCCTCTTAGCCACCACAGTAGTAGGTGTCGCCATCTTCATTTGAGTGTGTCGTCTCATAACCCAGTCCTCAGCTGCACTTTCCTTGGCAACTTTTCCCTTGCCCAAAGGTGAAGTGACAGAGGCCCTCATAGGCTCCATGGACTCTCTGCAGGCACAACAGGTACTTCCTCCCTGTTGCCAGAGGTGGCTGCCAACATTTTAAAACCAGAATCTGGGCTTGTAGATGAAGACATTTGCCCAGTAGTGTCCCTCAGGTATTCCAGAGTCTGGGACAGGTATAGATCCCATGCCCCCACTGACCACATTCCAGGCAGGGTACATTTCCACACTTATCTTGGTTGGGACCCTGAGCCACATCTCCGCTGCAGCTCCTCCTTTCAGGCAATACTTTTCCTCCGGTCGCCATGGGAGATTGCACTCTCCAAGCAGAACTTTGCTGGCTCTTTCCAACACGCTGTATTGGCTCCTCTTGATGCCACTTGCCATGATCCTTGTAAGACATAGCCCCCGGTACACAGACAGCCCGACTGGCCTCCACTGTGTTGCTTTGGGCAACCACTCTTGGTCCTGGCCTCTGGTCAGCCCCTCTCCTTGCACATAGTGTGGGCTTCTCTCTGCTGGACCTCCTCTCAAGCCGTGACATGTTCACATTTTCCACAACAGCTAGTGGTTTAACTCCATCAGCGCTGCCAGGGGCGACAACACCCCTCTCCAAGGTATGGACATCCTGCAGCTCTCTCCTTGGACTGAAGGTTGGCTTGCTTTCCTCTGTAGGTTGGCTCAATGCTGCCAGGGGCCGCTTGCACCAGTCCACAGCAGATTCACACACATTTAAACTTCTCGGCTTGGCTGGGGCACGTGGTATGTAACCCTCTAACCACAGGGCTCTATCTCTCGCTTCAGCAAGCATTGCCTCCTTTCTTCGCTTTGACCGCCCCATCCTTGCAGTCACGCACACAGCGGTTTATTACACAATTCAGCAACACCATGGAGCACTGTACAGTCTGTCTCTGTAAGGCAAGTTCCTTTTCTCTGGCAGGTTCTCCTCCCCGGCACACACAGTGCAGACTCATCATCACCAAACACAGTTCATATAACAAATGAATGCACTTCATTGCCGGGATCTCCAGTTCTGCTCGCATCCGCTATCATATGTGAGGACCGGCATCAAGGGTAGAGTCTTCTACAGCACACAGCCACTCGCTTCCTTCTTCTTAAGGGCCGGTTTAGCCCAATTTTATTTAAAGGAAAGTTCCACATAATACGTTTCCCACGCAGGGGTATCCACCATCAATCCAAATGAAACAAAACATTCAGCCTCCTGGCTTTCTCAGGTATACAGCCCCTTTGCTGCTCTGGCTCCCACTTCTCCTAGGTCAGTGCTTCTCAAATAGTGGGGGCGCGCCCCCCCGTCAAGGGGGGCGCGTTTGACCTCGGGGAACATACCGTATTTTCCGGCATATAAGACGACTTTTTGACCCTTGAAAATCTTCTCAAAAGTCGGGGGTCGTCCTATATGCCGTATACGTTAGGGTGGAACTTTTTAGGGGGGCGGCGCGGTGCCGTTGCTGCCCCCCCCCCTTCCGACGGAAGGGACGCTAAGTACAGGGGTGGGCAGA